GGAGAACACAAAGCAGTTCAGCAGTCGACCTGTTTTTCTCCTCATGGATGACTACAATGCCCCCTGTATTCAATGGAGCGATATACATGCGAAGCGTTAAAAGTATCTCATGGATCACCCCGCCCTAAATACAAAACTTAAAGTATTTCTCCCATAGCGTGTTGTCGTTCCATCTAGAACTTACGGCGTGCAACATGCTAATTATGTTGACCCTGGCTTCACCGGAGGTCCTAAGAGTATAAACAAGTTATACTGTACACTTCCGCTTAGTCAGTGTAATTATACTGTACTTTCACGAAATTACGGTTTATATGCAGAATAAAATGCAAATGAAGGAACCAAAATATATAGCAAGAGGACTTTTGCCAAGTGACAGCTGAGAAATCAAGAATAGACTCGGATGTCGTTTTATCTGTAACCAGTACTGGGGATGGTTTTTACATATAATGAAGAGCCACTCTGTTACCAAAGCCTAGGATATCCAACAAACCTAAGTGGCCAACAGGAGAAAGGCACTTTAAGTCACTTTATTCAGGGAAGAAAGCTTTCGCCCTTAAGCAATCTATTCATATCCAAAAATTGCAAAATAGTTCAACCTTAACAACAGTACATATTACAAATGTAGGCTTAACATCAGCGATAGGTGTGAGCCACTTGCAAACTGCTGCTACTGACACTATTTTCATTTTATCTGTCATAATTCCTCAGCAAATGAGAATCAAGTTTCGTTTAAAAGTGTTAACAGTATCTGTGAGGACCACATCGTCAGGGAGTCAGTTCCACGCTCAGATGACCCTCTGCGAGAAGGCTTTCTGTCGAAGGAAAGAATGCTGGGGTAGGTGCTTTGCCGAGGCATCGAAAATGCAGCCTGTTAGACATACAAAAGGCGTAGGAACAATGTGAATGGCCTGATTTTCAAAAAAAAGACTGGCCTTTGTAAATAATGTGCTGCATCGAGCCGCTCAATGTCATAAATTGTTGTACAGCTACCTGCAAATGCGCATACATCACATTAATTCGATCATCGTCGTGAAGAATTATGACAATTTGAAGGTATGAAACCTAAGCGTTTTCCTCACTTCTTTTTGTCTATCTTCGGAAGAGAAGCCGATTGGATTCTACTTGGTTACGAGAGTATGGGAGCGTCCATAATTGAGATTATTACTTTTTCCAGAAGGTAACGATTTCCAAGAGCTGAGAAGCTTGAAGGAAGGTAATTTTCCTGATTTTTGTGAGATTCCAACACGGCTGCTCTTTGAACTTGCCCAGAGATGACCAAAACGCTAAATTTTCTGTGCAAGAATTCTACCCATAAGCTGAAAAACAGCCCATTCTATAACGTTCAACAAAAGTGATTGTCGTGCATCTGTAACCAACACAAACTCATCAGTATGACATAAATCTGTTTCAGAGTCATGGGGAAGACCATCGAAAAAGAATTGATGACTCGTTTAAAAGCCCAAACTCGTCTCTGATGTATAATACGGCATTATTAAGAGGAAGTTCGTGTGTAACCAGTTTACTTTATACGATCGAAAACTGGAATGAGCTTTCAACGTAAAAGACACTGTACATGCGTTCCATCTTTTTTTCCACAAGTCTTTTAATATTGTTTTGCACCAACGTCTCTGGTACAGATTAAGGATACTGACCATTGGAGAACATCTTCTTAAGTGAATCGAGATTTAATTCTTGTGTCGTCGCCAAGTTGTTCGTTTGGGGCAATAACGATCAATGCGCAGTCATGGAGAGCAAAATTGCACAAGGTTCGGTGTTCGCATCCGTGTAAATTAATTATTTTTATAGGAAGTGGACTGTGGGTACTCCATGTTTCTGGATGGTATAAAAATCTGTAAAGTCACTCATAGTGCTACCTGACGAAGCCAACTTCCAAGAAAATATTTGCTGATTGAACAAATGGTCCGCCTTCAATTCGAACAAACTCACCATGGAACGTCTCAGAAATCGAAAATAGGTCTCTGGTACATGATCTACTCTCCGGGCGGAATGCCACTCCAAAATTCAGAAACGCGGGTATGTCTCCGTGTTTGGATGACAGACAAACTTCAGCTCCCTATACAATACTCTGAAGTGGCTAAGCCCGCATATTCAATGTTCTTTGCTTACAAATGTGAATTTACCATTTTTGATAAGCCTGTTTTGACAAAGAATTCAGTAGATTTGTAAGGCCGCACCATGAAGGTCTGATTCGGGCCTGGAGAACTTCAACTCATAAAGAGCAAAACATGCTCGAAAGGATGCAGACACGAGCGCAAAATGCAGTAGGTTGTCAGGTTGCACTATCATCCAAGATCAGCCTAAGTAAACTTCATCCCTGCCCCGTGAGTTATAGGCAGTTGCTCGGGGACTTGATGCTGTTTTGATGTATTGTTCGTGGCTTTCCCTTCATCCTCATCTGTGAGAATTCCTTCTAATTTATTAATACCAATCACCTTCGTGACAGCCCTTCAGACGATGTGCGCTCCGAGGGAGACTTCGGGTGAGAAAATATTTTTCTGCAACTGTATGCAGAACCTAGCGAGTAACCTACCACAGCTGATTTTAATGTCTCAGTTTGTGTAGATATTCAGAGATCAGCTTGAGAGGTACATTCTGTAGTAACAAGTGGACGATGTAGCCATTTAACATTTAAATCCAGCGCACTGCTTAAATCTAAAACTAGTTCATCTAAAGTTGTAAGTTGTTCACATAGTTGTAAATTCGTAAGCATTTTATGTGCCGAGTATGAAGTTAGATAGTCTTAATGTGCATATAGCACCGTTTTTAGTCCAATAAGCATGAATCAATCCCCCCTCCTGGCCCTGCTTGACTTTAGCTTATAAAATGGCAATGCCTGCGTTAAAATGAAGTACCAATGCGCATATTGTCATAATTTTACTTCAGTACTAAGTTTCTTTTGTAAATGTGTTCTAGGCGCTAGCGACATTAATGCTACCTCACTTAAGAACAGTTATTGTTGTTCGCAAATTCAATACCGCTATATTGCCTTATTCCTCGGAAACAAAGCTGCTTTGCATACAATTTACCCCCCAGTTGTTAAGTGTCGATTACGCCACTTTAAGCTTACCTTGGTTGCCCTCTAGCATTCGTTTCAGGTGCAGATAATGCTTGTTAAACTACGGACGCCAAGCCGGGATGGCAAATTCTAAGAGAGGCCGAATAAATGCTCCATAGGTTTTTCTGAACAGTTCCTTATCGATCTGAACAAATCATCGTTTAGGCGCAAATAATACTTGTGTCGCGTGTTAAGCTGCCTTTAGGCTTTGTGAAGATGGTTTAATTGTGAGGTTACTAGAACACTCAGGTCTTTCTGAAAGGTTTTGTCCATCGAGGGAGTATTGGAAGTGATTATCCTCCTCATTTGGCATTCTCATACGGGGCATTAAAACCGAA